ATACTACTAATAAGACATCTCGTGTTAATCATCAGGATACGGCTAATCGTACTAAGACTACCAGTGGTAATACAAACATTTTCACTAGTCATACGAAGGACACGGGTATTAAGGTTAATCGAAATTTGAGAACAGTATTTACAATAATAGAATAAGTACGACTATAAACAGTGCCAGAATAAGCCGACAGCTATTAACATTATTAACACTATTACGAAGAATAATGCGATGAAGAAAGCAGTAATAATACTGTTCTAAAAATATAGAATTTATAGAGGAGGAGGAGGAGGAGGCGGAGAAGGCGGAGGAGGACGAGGACGAGTAGGAGGACGAGGAGGAGGACGAGGAGGAGGACGAGGAGGAGGACGAGGAGGAAGACGAGGAGGAGGAGGAAGAGGAGGAGGAGGAGGAGGAGGAGGAGGAGGAGGTGGAGGAGGAGGAGGAGGAGGAGGAGGAGGAGGAAAAGGAGGAGAGGAGGAGGAGGAGGAGGAGGAGGAGGAAGGAGGAGGAGGAGGAGGAGGAGGAGGAGGAGGAGGAGGGAGGAGGAGGAGGAGGAGGAGGAGTAGAAGGTGGAGGAGGAGGAGGAGGGGGAGGAGGAGGAGGAGGAACAGGAGCTGCGCCCAGTGGGGCGCCACGCGTCCGCCGCTTACCTGGCCTCCCGCGCGGTCTGCTGTGCGCTCTGCCGACAGCTCCTGGCGGGCTACTCCGACGACGGCACTGGCGCTGAGTGCGCTCTGGGTGCTGCCGCGGCGACCTACAGCGCCCGGTATCGCAGGTGGGCAGGATAGTGTTTGACGTCAGCCAGCACGGCGACCAGGTGGGGCTTTCAGACAGGCTGGACAGAACCGCCAATGCCGAATTCTGGAAGCGCGCCTGCCTCGCCACCAGGGCTCACCTCTCGCTGGTTAGTGGCTGCAGGCGCGGCCCTGAGCTGAGGTTGGCACGGACTTCCCGCGCGGCTTAATGCAGATCGCCTGCAGGGGCGCCTTCGGGGGCAGCTGGTGGACGCCGAAACCTTCTGCCCGACCGCGACGGCAGCCCCGACGTCTGCGGCGACCGCGCGCTGGTCTGCCTCCACCGTGGGGGCCACGTCAAGCGGCGCACAAGACCAGGCTTTCTTCGCCGCGCAAGCTGCGGGCTTCTTGGGCCCCGAGGGGTGGGGGCCCGCCAGGGGCAGAAGAGAACAGCGGCTACTCGACTGCGTCGGCCAGCGCCGGGCGGATGCGCGCATTCCCCCTTGGCGTAACGGCGCCCCGGCCTTTCTTGACTTCGCGATCACCTCGGGGCTGCGGGGCGACCTGCTCGCCGCCTCGGCTGCGCCGCGGCCGAGCGGTGCGAGGGGCATAAACGCTTCTTCTTCGACGCCGCGCGCAGCTGCGCCGCTGTTGGGATCGCCTTCGTTCCCGTCGCGGTCGAGGCGCTCGGGGGCAGCTGGGGCAAGGAGGCGCAACGCGCCCTGGCCGTCTTGGCCAAGCGCGCGGCGGACGCCGCAGGGGGCGACCCCGCGCAAGTGGCGGCGGACAGCGCCCGGTGATTTTCGCATCCCTTCCACAAGGAGAACGAGCGGACCGTGCTCCGCAGGCTGCAGGCGCCAGGAGGGGCGCCCGCGGCCAGGCGGGCGTCGGCTACGGCGGCCACGGCGGCTAGCGTGGCCCGCGCCGCCTGAGCCGCTGGCCCCCTCTCTTCCCTGACCACGACCGCCCCCGAACGCAGCCATGGCCGGACCGCCACCCACGCCGCGCCCCCCGCGACGACGACCGCCCCCGACCGCCCCTGCTTCTTCGCTGCCTCTGCCGCTCGCCTCCCTCCTCCTGGTTGGCGCTTGTTTGCAATGCTTTTTCCTGTCGCTCCTCCTCCTCGCCTCCTCCTTCTCCTCCTCCTCCTCCTCCCTCCTCCTCTCCTCCTCCTCCTCCCCTTCCCCCCCTTCTCCTCGTCCTCCTCCTCCTCGTCCTCCTCCTCCCTTTCGTCCTCCTCCTCCTCCTTCTCCTCCTCCTCCTCTCCTTCGTCGCCTTCCTCCTCCTTTTCCTTCTTCTTCTCCTCCTCCTCCTCCTCTCTTCTGACGAAGGCTAGCCCGCGGCGCGTTCGCCTGGCGGTATTCGACGGCGTTGCGCGGCCCGTCGGCCAGACCATGCTGTCTCCCCGTGGGGGGCGCGCGTCCCTCCCCGTCGTCGTCGTCGTCGTCGTCGTCGTCGTCGTCGTCGTCGTCGCCGTCTTCCTTCTTCTTCTTCTTCTTCTTCTTCTTCTTCTTCTTCTTCTTCTTCTCCTCCTCTCCTCCTCCTCCTCCGCCTTCGCTTCCTCCTCCTCATCCTTTTCCTCCTCTTCCTCCTCCTCCTCTCGTGAGCACCGCGTCGTGGCCTGGCAATCGCCTGCCGCGGTGGCAGCGCGAAGGCGGCCAGGTGCGACCATCTCGAGTTTGTTTTCCCGAGGTAGAGGAAAAAGGCAGAGGATGAAACATAACATCAGGAGGAACGTGGTTCGAAGAGACCGACAAAATCACAGGGAGAAAGAGAGAGAGAGAGAGAGAGAGAGAGAGAGAGAGAGAGAGAAAGAGAGAGAGAGAGAGAGAAAGAGAGAGGGATAGAGAGAGAGAGAGAGAGAGAGAGAGAGAAAGAGAGAGAGAGAGAAGCAACAACGAAGGATAGAGAGGGAGAGAGAGAGAGAGAGAGAGAGAGAGCGAGAGAGATAACACATTAGTGATACATACATACACACATACATACATACATACATACATACACATATATGTATATATAGAGAGAGAGAGAGAGAGAGAGAGAGAGAGAGAGAGAGAACGAAAGAGAAAGAGAGGGAGAGGGAGAGAGAGAGAGAAAGAGACACAGACAGAGAGAGATGAATATATATATATATATATATATATATATAGAGACAAACAAATGATCAGGTGAATGAGGAGGATGTTGAGATCTGGGCGACAGCGCCCTTCCAATCCCGCCCCTGGGGGAGGTGGATACGTTCGAGCAGTTCCTGAACAACAAGTACAAAACAACAAAGGAGCCTCCAGTGCGTGCCGTTTCGCCCCCTCGCCCGCCGCCCCTTGCCGCCTCTGTCTGGCGCCGCGGTTTCTGCTCTGCCGCGGTCGGATGCGTCCCATGAGCGCGACGCCTGGGAGCGGGCGGCTGGCATCTCAAACGCACGGGCACGGCTTCGATGGGCGCGGCGTCCGGTGAGCCTCAGGGCACCCGGAGGGGCCCGAAGACGACCCCGCCTGCGCGCGCAGCGGCCCGGGGCCTGACACGCCGGCATCGCCGATGCTTCGCCGACGTCGCCGATGTATTTCCGATGCATCGGCAATGTATCGGCGATGTATCGGTGATGCGGCGCGATCCTCCGACCTCATCTAATCGGACCTCATGTGGGTCCCCTCTGGCTGACCCGTGTTTGGGAGCCACGTGGGCCCGATTCCTCTTGTCCGCCCTTAGCAGGCCCAGGTTTGGGGGCGACGGAGCGGCTGGCCGGGGTCTTGGCCGACCCTGCTTTGTGCTGACCTGGGTGACTACGTCCCCGAGATGAGCACAATTCGGGGGTTCGTCAGACGGGCAGTTGTCCCGAGGGGGTGTGTGGGAAGGACCCCCGCCGGACGCTCACACTTCCTGCTCCCAGGGGCCGTTTGGGGCGATTCTCCTCCCAACCCCACCTCTGCCCTCACTCCACCTTCACGTCCCCCCGAGACCTGCGGCAGCTTGCGCGATGAGCACGATCTCCGGCGGCGCGAGGCCCAGGCCGACGTCTCCACGAGTTCGGGTCGCTGGCCCCCAGACTTCTCGGCGACCCCCTCCTCGGGGCTAGCCTCTCATCGCGAGCCGTTTGCCGACGGTTCTCGGGCAACGGTCGGCCACGCGCAGGGGGCGGTAATCTGGGGGAGGGGGGAAGGCTTCTGAGGAGGAGGCTGCTTCTGAGAAGGCGCGAGCCTTATCTATAGATATAGGGCCAGCGCCTTCTAAGGAGCAGCATCCTTCCGAGCAGCCTCCCCCCCCTCCCCCTACCCCCTCGCGCGCCGCCAGCCCGGAGCGGCCTCTGGGTGCCAGAAGTGCCAAAGTACCCCTGGTGTGATGGCTTGGCCCCGGGGTAGCAGCGGCCAGGGCCCTCCCTCGCTGGGGTCGACCCTCCGGACCTCCTCCGAGGTGCGGTCCGGGCTGGGCCGTCGAGGCGGATCCGGCCGTGGCGACGAGGGCGCCCTGGGAGCCCAAGAGATCCCCGAGCCTTCCGTCCGCGCTCGGGCCGAGCTTGCCCTGTCGGGGAACGGCGGGCAGAGCCAGCCCCGCGGGGAATCCTGCGGCGGAAGCCCTCCCAGGCGCAGCGCGCCTCTGCCGAGCTCCCTCTCTCCGACCCAGCCTGGGCCTCGCTCCCAGGAGCGCCTTTGGCCAGGTCGGCGGGTCTCCTGGCGTGCATTTCCTCCCTCCTCTGCCTCCCTCCGCTCGCCTCTCCCTGCGCTCCCCCCTCCGTTCCTCCTCCCTCTTCTGACCTCTTTTGCCTCCGCTCATCCTCCGCCCGTCTCCGCCCCCTCCCTTCCTCCTCCTTCTCCTCCTCCCTTTCCTCCTCCCCCCTCCCCCCTCCCTCCTCCCTCCCTCCCTCCTCTTCCTCCTTCTTCTCCACCTCATCCTCCTACGTTCCTTCCTTGCTTCCGTTCTTCCTTCCCTCCCTCAACCACGCCCGAGAACAAGTGGCCGCGCTTGAGAGGTGGCAGGAGAGGAAGGGGGCAATATGACGATGCTGATTATTATGGTGGTGCAGGTGAAGATAATGATGATGATGATGATGCTGATGTTGATGGTGATGATGATGATTATCGTGATGGTGATGGTGATGGTGATGCTGGTGGTGGTGGTGGTGGTGATGGTGATGGTGATGATGATCATGATGATTCTGCTGATGTTGATGGTGATGATGATGATTGTGATGGTGATGGTGATCTTGATGATGATGATGATGATGATGGGGGGGTGGTGGTGATGGTGATGGGGAGGCTGATAATGATCATG